GAATTTCTCGAAATACTGATGTCTTTATCTTTTAGTGGACTGTGGGGATCGTGTTGTCCTTGCAGGGAAACTGGAAGTTGTATAGGGACAGTTGTACCCCCTCACAGTGGCCAACTGGGTTGAACTATCAACGTTCTCAACAAGATGCATTGTTTATTTCATTTCAAGTTCAGTTCCAACATACAGTAGTGGTAACCTTGTCCCAGAAGACCCTGGGGCCGAGGTTGACAGTTGTGGTTCCATCCTCGTCCCCAGGGCCTCTCGCATCCCCCCTAGGGCACCCGGAAGTGCAAGAGTTTCTAAAGTACATGCTCTTAAATTGGGACGCTTTAGCACCCGTAACAATTTTCACAGAGATGTATTATGGAGAAATGAAGTATTTGTGTTGACATATGTGGATAGAATAATTTTGCCTGGCGAAAACTGCTCAACTTCTGCCAAATAGCAGTTATCTAAGCAGCCAATCAGATCCCTCCCTTCCTAGTCATCTAACCCAGGGCCTAATTTTCAATGAGTGACTGAGTGAAAATGGCTCTGGGGATGAGAATGTAGTGGTTCAAAAAAGGACTAACTAGTACCCAGTCCCTCTCAGTGTTGATTTCTCAAAAACTAGAGGTTAGCAGTGTATTTGTAGCCACCATAAATATAGTTCATAGAGTGAAGACAACTCAATTATATCTAGTCCTGTTTCATGCCAAGATCAAAGACAAATATATTTGTGCACAAAACATCTGGGGCCGGTTGTATAAAACTCTTAATCACTTTTTTAATCACTATTTTGTAGTTAAATAGTGATTAACTCTCAAATAGGCGCTTCTTATTGGATGATGTTTGCACTTAACCATAGTTCACTTTAATTACTTTTTTATACAACCGGCCCCAGGATGTTATCATCAGCCCTTCATGTCTTTGGCCAAAAATCCACAATTTATATGTCATCTACTGTAGAACATATTTTCCACAGCTGAAAGTAATTATAGCATCAACATTTCCCAGCAGCACCCTCAGCTTCTTCCTGATTAGGAGCCACAACAACTATCATTATGTTTATTGTGATTATTGACCAAGTGTTGGCTATGCTCTGATTATAATATTTGGGTGTAGATACAACGTCCAGTGGTATATCAGTGTTTTACGTCATGGTGAAAAATCTCAGGGAGCTCAAATCCCATTTATGGTAAGGCTGTCCCTCTTTTTATTGTGTTTGTGTGCTTAAGAAAAAATGCACTACAGTACAAAATGCGTGAAATGTCGTACACATTTCAGTTGTAAACTATTGTACCAGAGTTATATGACTGTACCCGTAGCATTTTGTTCATAATTCGTCAGTGTAAACACGTTATTTAGCTCATTTAACATATCATTTTTTTCCAAAATATTATGCCTGTTTTGAATAAAGATCTTTCTTTGAAATTTTTCTTTTAAATCCATTTTCTAGATCACAATGAAGATGCGGAGATCTTTGTCAAGACTTGGGTTTCAGGAGGAAGATATCAGAATGCTTAAGCCAGTAGAGGCAACGAAAATTATTGAACGCTCCGTGAATAAACAAACTTGGAAAAAATATGTTAAAACTAGAAAAAACCCTGAAAACGTATAACGAAAGTATTTTTGTATTAGCATAAAACGCATGCCTGTCGATATAGGCCTGATTCATACCAGAGAGGGGAAATCTAAATCCTGGACCAATCTGTCTCTGGGACAGAACTGACGACGCAATTAATGCATACAAATTTATCCAAAACTCAGTTCATTGCAATGTATGCACCAGCACAAGAGCATGTACAAAAATATATTAATTCTATACATTAGTTTCGATATAAGATATTGTATGTTCTCAATAATTTGAATATGGCTGTCTTCTTCGCAGAGGCTTACACGCAAGTAGTTAAGGTAGCTCTGCAGAGGAGAAATATGAATATAATGAACTGTACATCTTTGATATATGAATTATACATCTATATCTTATGTCTCATGGCTGTTATAAATTTGCATAACAAATGTTACGAAACTGCACTGTTTTTCTGTTCTAAATAATTGTTAAATTTATCATATAATACACTAAATATTTGACCTTTTCTATATTACATTCAGTTTATCTAATTGACGTAAAAGTTATAACACAACAATTTCATCATCAACTCAACCGTCTTTGCGTGGAATCGCGCCTGTTAAAAGGTCATCATTACATCTTAATGTCTGTTTTCTACTTCACCACTGTTCAAACTGCTTTAGTTCTACCAAAACAATGAAATATCGTACGTCTCTTTAAGATTGTTTCCATTTGGTCGTATCTGGCGTGACCAAGTGATGTTTGACGATGTGAAATAGTTTGGATTTATCTTACTGACTGTAGAGATATATCGCCACTCTATTGCATCGCTCGCCTTGATATGTTCACGACAGTTCCGATGGAAACCAGGTTAACGGCTCAGATACGATGCGTTTGGCAAACACGCTCAAGGCTACGGCAAGGTACGGGTTCGTATGAATTCCTTTCCAAATTTGCACAGTTCCACCTTTTTGCACGCTGTGTAAAGAGGACGAACGTGCTAGTTTGGTACGGTTCCACGGATTTATACAAGCAGTTTAGTCTTCCACCTAAAATTTTGAGTTTTAATAGAGCACTCCCTACACTTCCGCCAACCCCCCAACCCCAGAAAATTTTCATTTCGTCTCCATGAAATAACATTTCTTTAAGATTTGTATATGTGAAAAATATAATTAGAGAGAAAGATTGAAAACTCACGGTATACCGGTGGTAGTGAAGTGCTTGTATAAATCTCCGAATTCGTCCGGACCCGTGTACATCTTCTAAAACTGAGACGACAAAGTCATGCAGAATAAAACTAAAATTCAAACAACACATGCCAGGATGCTTGTTAACCACTTTCTTCAGACAGCTTTTGACTGGACAAACTTCCATGTTCGCGACTCCTCTTTTTCAAAATCCCTTTCGGCTTCTTCTCTGCTGTTGTCATAGGCAACGGCTCACTGACGTGTCTTTCTGTGGCCTGCGTGTTGTCATAGTAACTGACATTCAAAGGACGTGTGGAGGTATGAGGTTTCAAATAACGGCTTTGTGGTCCGTTATCCCCTCTATCACTCAATGTCACTTTGTGTCCTTCCTCATACCTGCATGAATGATAACCGCTATCACAGCTGCTGGCCTCGCGATCAGGACTGTGGCATACACCTTCATCTGATGGACTAAAGAGAAAAAATAGATGTTTCTTCTATTTAGATTATTCAATATTAGTAGAAGCGTCTGAAACCCGTTTCCCATTTGGCGAATATATTGTTCGCGCGAAGTGACTTTCTCCTATTATAGTGAAGCCAAGTGAAGCCAAGTAAAGCCAAGATGTAGCTATTGGACATCAGTTCCAGTCTCAATTATTTATGTCTGCGCGGTTAACACGAAGGACATTGCCGAAATCTAGTTTTTACCTCCATTTAAAGAATAATAGTATGCTTTTATGAACTGATAACTTGTTCAGCGATACGGTCCGTTAGAAAAAAACTCGAATTAGCTGGGGAAAAACAAGGGGAAAAGTATGAGAACTGTTTAGGACCTTCATAGATTTTAGACGTCAGTTTCCGCCATCTTGGCTCTCATCTCTTCTCCAGATCGGAACTGACTGTAGTGGGAAAATGTCGCGCGAATAAATTGTGGAAAACCGGCTTAAATCCTATTATCCTAATACAATTTAATGACATTCATCTGAACACTTACCAACTAAACACATCCTCATTGTCAAGATCAGGTTCAATTCTTAACACGTCATGAACTTCAAACTCATTCACATGATTTTTCACAAAACAAAAATGCTTCATGTTTTTTTCATACGACTTTCCGCAACTGTGTCCAGCACATGGCAAGCTTACAACATCACTTAACGAGAGCAATGTACTCCTTTCGTCTTTCAAATTTAAAATACGTTCTTTCAAGTTGTCCAGCTCAGATTCGAGAGCCCATTTTTGGGTTAAATAATCCAGGATTTCCCCTTCCAATTCCGAGTTCCGTTGGACGGAGTCCAGAACTTGTTTCCGTAAGTTTCGAGTGCGGTCTTTCTCATTCGCTTTGTGTACATCTTCCGGTGAGCGAGGCTGGAGTTCAAGAGTGCTTTCTGAAATTGCTTTCAAGGCAAGCACCTCTCTTTGCAAGACTTGTTTTTCATTGCGTAACTGCGCGATCTCGTCAGAAAGTTGCTTTCTTAGATCACTCAGTCGATCATTTGAATCGCGTCTGTTTCCGTCGACAGAATCAACACTACCCACAGAAGAAAACGACGAATTCCTAGAAATGCGTTGCAGACGTTGTACTGTAGACTTCAAAAGTTCTACGATTTCGATCATGACTGGTGCCATTCCGTTTTGTTGACATAGACTCACCTCAACACCCCATGTGTTGACCTCTGTATTGCTTTCAGAGAGAGCTACATCTGATGGAGTAATGCCCTTCCCACTCCCCCCACCGTCTGATGGAGCCAGGGCTTGCTCTGACGTGCAAAAACCATCAACAACCAAGCCTAGTTCACTCTCCAAACATCTTATATCATCCAAGAATTCAAATACTTCACTATTTAAGATCCTACTTCTGGCCGATTGCTTTTTGACTTTGTTCTTTAACCGTTCTACTTCATCAACCAAACCGTTCT